ATATATATTAATTATGAATCTCAACTTAGTATCCTATTAAACTATTTCTAATTATTCAATCATTTAATAACCAAAATTATTTTTATGATAAATGATCGTTACAAGTTAAATTCAATATAATTTGATCAATTTTTGTTTTTATTCTTTTTGTTAAGATAGATATCGAAAATGAGAATTTTCTTTCTTTATTATCAGTCAAATCATTGATTGCAACCCAAAATTATATTTTATCATCAATCCGATTACCATTCACATTTTTTTCTACTCATTCTTCAGTGTTTGGGATTGATGAGAAAGTAATGTTGGTGGGAAAAAACTTTTGAAGGAAAAAGGAAGAACAAGTATGAAGAAAAGTACACATATGAAGCAAGTTAGGGTTTAGCAAGGCTTTTTTTTAGATATAACAAAAACTTTTGAATATGATTTACACTCAAAAACCTAGAGTGTGATAATAATGGTATGTATGAAATTAAAACTTAGCTTTTACAGCTACATGTACTAAAATAAAGGATAATGAACCTTTGAATGTATCAAGAGAAATTGTAGCATTACAAGTGATGCATATTCAATAAATAGGCACAGTCGTATGTATTCAATAAACACTTTATTCTAATTTTTATAAACTTTAATTAATATCTAATTTATGGATGGTAACAACTCTCAAAACTACCATCATGTATTGACACAAATTACTTAAAGAGATTCCTTTAATGTCACACGTAAAATTCCACTAATAGATTTCTGTTAAATCTTTGTTCAACAAGCAAAATTTTAAGTGAAATTGAATACTACTATACTTTTATTAACTATTAAATGGACATTGATGCTTGATTTGAACATGTCATTCACTTCTTACTTAGTAGTCTTTATGATGTCATCCCCTACCTATCATTTTACTAATAAAGAAATAACTCCCACATCTAAACCAAAATAACTCTTCAAGCACTAGGAATTAGTGTTCCTTATTTTAGGGGTTTTATTCACACGCATAATTATAAAGATGGCAGTCACTTATGATTCCATGTGACATGTTTCTAAGAGACACAACCAACTTGTGAGATCAAGTGATTAACTGCAGCTATCTAACTTCACAAGCATAACCAAATAATTTATATATATATAAAGTCAGAAGAATTTATACATCCCGGAAAATATTTCAAAGAATTTAGTTAGTTCATTAGTTTAAAAACATTTCCCTGTTAGGGATAAATTTTTTTTATCATATTGAAATGCCTTTGTAATTCTTTTAGTTCCAAATACTGGAAGATATACACAGGAGAAAATCTAACATTATTTAAGAAACGGCACTCTTATCTCTTTTAAAATTCAAACTGAATGTAAACTTTAATATATAAATATGTTAAATATTCGTAATTAAACTAGTAATGAATAATAATAATTTTGACCTATGAATCCTCTTTGTATTGTAACAAACAAGTAAAGCTCTCCTCTTAGCTCATACATTTACATTGCTGATACAATTATGCAATTTCAAAATGTGAAGTCCTGCCTGAGTCATTTATCATTCCTATTCTTAGTCAGTAAGATATAGTATGAAAAGGAAAAGGGAATCATAAGAACTCCCAAAAAATTTCAGGTATGTGGGAGATCAATCTCTCCTCAAACTGAAAACTTCAAATTCCTGCCAATATTTGTAAAGATATTGGGTCAGTGAGCAAACTATAAAGTATCACTTTCTCTAACGAATGGCACAAAAATAAACTTGATGCATATGGTGCATGCAAGATTACCTTAGCAATTCAAAAGTATAGCATGTCAATCAGATTTAAAAGTGTCCCTCTTTCCAGCAAGAATCATTGAAATTTGGAGCCCTCTACTAAATGCTTGATTGAATAGCAAGCGAGTTTGAAACTCTGACACAAATGGGAACCATGACAAAATGGCTGTTGGCAAGAAGATTATTAAACCCATCACATATTCATAAGCTCTGGCTAGCTCTTTCACTGAGTCCCATAGTTTAGCTCCTTTCAAGCATACCTTGCATGCTTGTGCAATCTTGAATGCGAACGAAAGAAGGAAGTCAGTATTTTTGGATGAATTAAGTACTCACATAGATAATTGTCTAGAATTGTGTGCAAGTAGTATATGTATCAATATTTCTTTTAAACACATTATCTACTATTGATTGAAATTTATTAGAAATTACAAAATTTTGTAAGTCTCACTTCTTATTTCATGAATTCTACTCATGATTTTGTAGTTGTTAATATTTTTAAGAATCTGTTTGGATACAAGATTAGAAATACTTTTAAGAGTTTCTCTACTTAAAAAAAAAAAAAACTTTATTTTTAGTAAAAAAGTTGCCAAAAACACTTCTAGCTTAAAAAGAGTGTGCTAGAAATGTGTTGTTAACACTCATCTTTCCTCAATCTACCCAAGACATGTCAGACAAGAATAGGAAGTTGACATAAAAATTGTTCTTAACTAGTGCTTCTCTAGAATGCAGAAGTTCTAACTTACCAGAATAATGGCCCATCCAGAGGGCATGAAGGCGATGATGGCAGCAAACAAATCTGATACAGTAAGTCCACATACCACAAATAATACAGTCATGACTGACAAGAAGCCAAGAAAGAGAAGTGCCTTGAGAATACGAAACATGAGCTGAAAGTCGGTGCCAAATCTTCGTCTTCCCATGGATACCATCTGATATGGTCATATGGAATTCATACAAACAGAAGAAGACACATGCATTAATATGGCGCAAATGTAAACTAATTTTAACTGTAAAATGGCTACAATGGTCTAAAAGCTCCCCTTGTTTGATTAAAAAGATGTTTTACAACATGATACTAGAAGCAAAAATTCACTTAAGTTGATAATACTTTTGTAGCAAACAATTGATTAGGCTAAAATTGAAGCAATAATGGTTTTATGGGAAGTCAATCTTGATCCCAAGCTGTAGAATTTACGTACCTTTAATACAATGAGTATTATTATTAAAACGGCCCAAGAAAGTCCAAATACCTATAAGGAAAAATCAAATTAGTAATCGTAAGATGGCATTATAAAAACATGCAACCATTAATAGGGTTGGAGAATGGGAAAATGAGTTACTCTACCAGCAAATCTTTGTTATGATGAGTAATGTCCATGTGGTAGACAATTCCATATTGGTACATAAAGAAGCGAAATGCAAGAATTATCTCAATTATTTTCCCCCTGATATTTGAGTATTTCAAGTGTTCATTTTCTTCATCCCACCAAGATTCCCAACTTTTATCAGATGAAATACCAATGCCACCACGATTTCCCATCCACCGCTTCCAATCAGTCCAATCATCCACTGTTTTTTGCCAATCAAAGCCAGAAGGATTAAACAAGAAAGGAGCAAACAACCATGAAGTGGCCAAAAACCACATTGAGATTGTGATGAATAAATAAAGATGGGAGCTGCGGTATGACTCCCCATAGACTTCATAAACAATCAATAGTATGAGAATCTCTAGACCCTTCACAAAATGACTTCGTGAGTACATCCTGTAGTTTTCGGCAAACTTTGCATGGAAGACAACAAATCCCCGACCAGTTGGTCTATATTTAGAACCCCCATGCAAGAGTGTTCTTCCGTAATAATGAGCTTTTGTTCCAAGCTGGAAAGTAAAGAACACAGAGGCTAGCTGCAGCTGCATGATGATAAAATCACCCAACGCAGTGCGAAATCCCTTCTCTAAGCCAATTTCCATAACCATTGGCAGCACAAGCAGTATGCCCAACTGAACAACAGACTGAGTTGCCAAGGCCTCTTCAAGGGCTTTGCTCTGATGTATGTTTGGACTTTGAAGAATTTCTCTCTCAACTCCACTCAAAACCATATATAAACGTCCATATAAGAACACATACACAGTCAACACAGTTATCTGAAAAATTCATGACATCCAAAACAGGTGTTAGCATAAGCTCAATTTACAGGACAAAATTAGGGTCATGTGCTTTCAAATTTAGTCATCTCGGTATAGCTGCGATTGTATTGTATGTTTTACATTTCAAATACAAATATTTCACTATATGGTAATATAAAACATCCCAACTAAAAAATTAAGTTGATTTTAATTTTTCATATCTAATACCAGATTAAGCAATGTGATTTTGATAGAAGACATACATTTTGTCTATCCTCAACTTTCAAAAGTCAACACGATGCTGAATGAGCCTGAATTAAACTTAAGTGGAAACCATCAATTTGGTCTTTCAAAGTTACATGCATCACTGTATTATCCAAAAAATGAGACAAGTTATTTTTTAAAAGCGTTATGTAAGAAGTTGTTTCTATATTGGAAGACACCAGTAACACAAAGTACATTCCAATAATATGCTATTCATAAAATCCTTAACCAATCAAGATAAGATCCCCAAAACGAGATTTGATTATTTACCATGCTACTGAAGTAGAAACCAACTGTTGTAAAGTAGAACGACAACATTCTGAAGAAGTCAAATCGTCGTCCAAGTCGATAAACATCACGGCTAAGTGATTGTTCTCCATTTCCATTTGCAACCTTAGCCTCGAAGAGTGATATCTGATTCATGCCCACATCACGCCCTTTACCTACTTGTATATATTCATGATGTGTGATAAATCCTTGACGGAGAGTTGAATTGAACCCTATGGATGTTAACAACAATTAGTAAAAAATTCCTACCCACATAAATCTGCAATGTAGATTTAAGTTGAACTCGATGGATATTAAGCACATGCAGTAGAAAATTTAGATATTTCAGAGAGCATTTTATATTAGTACCTGCAAATATATCCTCACTTAAGTTTATAACTTTTGATGCTTTGCTTATGCCACCTCTTGTTATGTGGAAGATTCTGTCAAATATATCAGGATGACCATAATGAAACCGGACCCTGCAAATTCAGGAATATAGTTTACTTAACAGAAGAAAAAGGTTTAGTGAATAGATAATAAAGTAAGACATATCCTATTCTTGTATTAAATTCAGTTGCAGCACTAAGTAGTGAAGACTCTATGCTTTCTTCATATTTTCAACCTGAACAGATTTCAGGTGTGAAGCAAGTAGATATCTATTAAATAGAACCCTTTCTTGTACATTTACTAACATGTACAGGTAACTTAAAGTTCAATTTTATTTGGATGACCAAATGAAAGAAACAGAATAGAAAATAAGGTTAAAAAAAAGTGAAAATGCATGAAAACAATATGAAACAAGGGATTTATAAAAGAACAAAACTTAGATACTCCCAAGTGTTGTTGGTACTTTTCTTAAATCAAATTGAAGTTTTAGCTCGATAATTTGCTTATTAGAGGCATGCATTAAATAATTATGCACATTACCAACGTGAAACTCCAATTTTTATTGCAGAATAAAACCAATAGTACCTAAGGAACCGTAGCTAACAAAACCAACAAAACCAATTTTTATAATAATACTTACATGCTGTATCACAGGACAAATAAATTGGAACTAACCTTAAAGGATTTGCTAAAATTCGCTGGCCAATGGTCACAAAGCTGGTCTCCTGGTTTGACATAAACCAAGCAAGTGAAGAAACACTGCAGAATAATAAACACATGAGCATAGATAACTTGTACCAATTCAAGTTTGATGATAAAAGTAAATATTTTCTTAGTCATGAAACAATTTATTCAAATATAATTTAATACTACATATTGTCGCAAGGCCAACCTTCCAGTAAATATATGCTCCCTTATGCCCAATATGGTGGGTTTCCGTTGCCCACTATGTCCTCTCCGGAATTCTTCCAATACATTTCTCATTTTGAAAGCTTCTTCATAATAATTATCCTTAACCAAAAAAAAAACTATAAAATTAGAAGCATTGACTTATACAGAGAGTACTACTTAATTCATATCAAATTGAAGTCCAAGGGAAATATACCTGATTCATGTCTATGGTCTGCAAGGCTTCTCCACGAGTAAATATTATGGCATGATTTTGGTTTTCAGGTTTCCCTTCACCAATTTCTGTTGGAGGACCAGGTAGTTTGATGCGATATATTTCCTATTAAAGTAATGCAATATAGAATAATTTGAATTAAAATTTAGGAGTGTTCAAAACCCAAAACCAACTCAACATGAATTGAGCAACCCTTGCACAATATCAAAATATTTCATTATATAGTTAGGCACAACACTAATAAGGAATAGAAAACCCCTTGGGTTTATATCATGCAAATAACTGCACATTAGTTTGTTATTCTAACTAGTATGTTAACCTGTACATTCACAAAGGTCACATTCATCTTTACACGTATTAAAATAGCATGTAAATATAGTAATAACAAATTTATACGTATAATTCTCAATTATCTATTTTCTATACACTACTCCCTCCATGCCTATATGTAAGACACTTTTTAAATTTATTTGTCCCTTTTTATAAGACTCTTTTCAAAAAAAAATTTGCATTAATTTATTTATTTTTTTACTAAAATACCATTTATTACTTTACAATAAATGTTATACATTAATAGGATAAATTCATTCTCTCTTTTATGAGGATTGGAGAACATGACTTGCACAAATTCATTAATTAGGTGAACAGAAATTAAGAGAAAGAGTGATATAATTAGTTTAAAGAGTCTCAATAATTTTAAGGTAATTTTGGAAAACGATACAAATTTTTAATAAATTTAATGCTACTAATTATCTTTCTTAATAGGTGTAATATAATTAGTTTAAAGAGTCTTATATTTAGACTAGGGATGACAAAAATACCGATACCCACATGTATCTGCGGATAAAATCTGTCACAAATAATATATGGGTAGCCTAAATGAATACCCAAGGGTAACGGGTATGGGTATTTTTTTACCTATTTATAAATGGGGTGGGGGCGGGTACGATATGATTCATACTCGCAAATACCCGCTAAATAATATTACTTAAATATTCATATTTTTATCTTAGATTTTTTATATTATTTTTAATATTTCAAAAAATTATCATTAATTACAAGTTCAAAAATTAATATCAATTGTTTATCTTTAATATTTCAATATACTTAACATCAAATATAAGCTTAAAATTATTTATACTACTTTTTCTTAATTTTTAAAATAATTCACAAATATCTATGAATACCCGCGGATATTTATAAATTTGTGGGTACCCGCTAAACAGATACTCGCATGAGTATGGAGCAGGTATGGGACAGATTGTTATCTGACAGAGTGAGTACGAATCCTACTATCCGCCCCCACGAGACTCCATTGCCATCCCTAATTTAGACACAGGAAGTAAAATTATGTCCTCATGAAAATAACTTATGTTATTGTATTTTTTATTACTATTTTGTAGTAAAAATATTGGAAACTTTTTTAAAAAAATTACTAAAATACTTATCCCCAGAAAATAAAATACAAAATTAAAAGTATAAATTAAGTGCAATTAAAAAATAATTAAATATAAGAATGTATATTATAGAAAAATGAAGGTTACAAAATGTATAAAATTTGTATAAAAGAAAAACAATATGCACATAGAAAATGTTAAGTTTCCCCTGATTAATTAGTGCATAAAGTGTCTTGTTTTTTTTAAACAAAAGATGCAATTCTATTGTAATTAGCTGTGCAACGGTGAAATTAACTAAGATGTATTTCAGTGTATTGATGTGTTGACATGTTCATAAAAGTATAAAACCTAGAGCACTAAACTTTATTATACGATCTTAGATGATTAGGAAAACAAATCATGATAAAATAGGGAAATTTAGTAACCAATTCTAAGTTGGATATAATGAGGAATCAGTGAAACTAATCTCAGAGGATAATCTAAAGATATAATAAGAAATTTTTGGATATTTTCATATGATTCTAACATATCTCTGTCTCTATTAATATGGAAAATCCAGATTCCAAAGCTTGGAAGAGAGAAACCCAAGAGAGTAACATCAGCTTTGCCCGTTGTTAGCAGGGACTAAACACCTACTCAATTTGAGTCATTTATTAGCAGCCTTCAACCAATTTAGGATTCTTTGATCTACTAATAAAACTGAAAAACCTCACCACCATCTAGTTGTCACATACCAGATGGATCATTCGTCTTTCCACAAGTGAATGCTAGATTATTCAACCAATAAAAATGCACAGAAGACAACCACAAAAACCACACCATATGCTAGAGTGAAAAAGAGATTCTGAAGAAAAATTTTATTCCACTTTTGCAATGACTAATTAAACAGTCATCAGATTTCACAGTAGACTTTCCTATACAGTGAATGACAGGAGTGTTTTCAAAGAACAAATGTACAAACTGAAATTTATTTCATAACATTATGCACCAAAAATATAAAGGGTTTGTACTTTTTACACTATCATCTAATCACCAATTATCATGCATGTAAGTTTGTTTACTTTTACAATAATTACCTTAAAAATCATACTTAACATGATTTCTTATTGGTTGAATGTAAAAAAAACAATATACATTGATGGTGCTTAAAAATTAAACTCTTTAATAAATATGGCAAAAGCACAACTCACAACAATACATCAAATGAAGATCTTTTGTCCATACCTCATCATACTTATCCCCTCCCTTGACAAGAACGGAATAATAAACTTTCTGAGATTTTCCATTCTTTGTGTCTTCTGTTTCATCTATGTAAGCAACACGAAGGGAAGAATGCCTGCATGGAATGTTCCATTTTTCCACTGTCAATCCCATTATTTTACAATATACAAGGAACTTATCAAGTTCAGCAAATGGTTGAATTCACTCACGTTAACATCAGATTGAGAATGTTAGTATAGCAGCTTCTGTCTCTAATATTTTTGGACTTTTTCTGAGAACCGTACATTTGACAAGAAACAACATATGTAAACTTTAAATCAGCCATAGCTTGTGCTTCTTCGAGAAGCTTCTTATTTTTGTCAACAGAATCAGGCCGGTAGCCTTCAGAGAGAGCTGCAAGAGTAACAATGTATAGTTCATTCGCATATGAAAGGGTCCAGTCATATCTCAGCATTTGAACACAGTATGTAAAAAGGGAAATAACCATTGTCTCCCGCAGATTCTATGAAGCACTGAAGGATCAAAGCTTGCCAATAGTACATCATTCCTCTCACTACCAAAAACAAAAGGTTGAAAAATAAAACTTCAATTGGAATATATATTCAAATCTAGTGACAAAAATAATGTTAATTACAATAAAGACCTGTTCGATAGAGTGTCTGCCCTCTGAAAGATGCCCACCGACGAATTAACTCCTCCTTATCTTCAAGTGGTTCACTTTTTATTCGTTCATGAAAATTGTCCCATTCATCTGCAGTAAATTAATGTCAGACAGTAAATGAGTGCACACGTACAATAGAGGGGCAGAAAAATGCAAGTTGGCATATTAAAGTACTCACCAGGATATATCTTGGATAGGTAGAATAAAATTGATATTCCATCTTCATTTTCCTTATTGAGTTCATCATCAGAATATAGAACATCTTCTTTGAAATAGGGTGTCAGAACACTGAAGCAAAACTCAGACAAGTTAATAAACAATAGAACATGTGTTTAACTTTACACACAAACTTCTCCCAATATTTCTCTCTCCACAGAAGTAAACTAACCCATATTCCATATATTTGGGAAAGTCAATAATTTGTAGATACACCAAACATGCAGCCACAATAAACAAGGTGGCAATTGTTACCAACCGTAAAGTGTAATAGTAATGAAAACACACGTCTGATTAGTATCTTAATCATTCTTCTCTTTTGAGTTATTCAGAAGAAAAAAAAAATGGTTCAATAGAAATAGACCTTGTATACAGAATACATTTCATCCATCCATTTCAAAATTTGAAATTTGTTAGATATAAAATTATTCATGAGCCTCAGCCCAACAGCTTAAGCTTTTATAAAAGTTGACCCTCTTTGTGATATTCAAGTCTTTATAACCAAGTGGTATTCTCATTGCCTTCATTCTTCTACTATGAAGTTGAATTTCAACACAAGATGTAATAGACCAATGTGTTTGTCTATGCTTCAAAAGACTCTTGCATGAGGTGGTGGGTCATGTTACTCATGTAAAACCCACTCATGAATTAGTCTTATGAATTAGTCTTTCACATTATCCGATACTCATTCTATTTTTCCTTTATTTTCAATATATTAGTATATCGCAATGACTAACCTGAAGGACAACATGTCCCGCACTTTGGGAGCCTTTGGCATATTCATAAATAAGGAGTTGGCAAAGAATGTAATGCGGCGGCGGGCTTCTATATTTTGGGGAACATTTATAGCTGATTCCTTGACTGTTAAAAGCAAATGAAGCCTAATAACCTGCAGAGAAGAAACAGAAACTTGTATGCAACAGCACATTCAAAAAGAATAATGTAATGTTTTCACTTAAGTATAATTGTCAAGACTACCTTCTCCATTACTGTTCCATTGTTTGTAAAAGAAGTGTCAATGCTGACAAACCTCTGCCCCCTCTCTACATGATATTGCTGAGGTGTTTGTAGAAATTGCAAAAACCTGGAGAAAGCACAACCAAGTCAACATCGTAAAGCAGTACTTGTTATAAGATTAAAAAAAAAATACATTAGTAAACCAAAGTTCCGGTCACTGTTTCAAACATACAAATGGCCATCGACCATAACATCCTGTATAATAATTTCTACAATATCTTGCAGGACATTGACTATCTGGGACTCTAGTTTGCCATCTTCAGATCGCTGCAAGTGGGAAAAAAAATATATTTATAAGACCTAAAGAAGAACCTGATATATACTGAAAAAAAGGAAGCATGATGCGAAAAACACTTACTAGTAGACTTAAGAATTTCTCTAACTTCTCACTGAGTGAAGGCAAGCCACTCATCTTGAATTCCCTGACAAATGTTTTTTCTTGTATGCACCGTTCTACTTCATAGCATATATTCATCACAACCCTGTCTCATACATGGAAGAAACCCAATACTCATGAGGACTCGAATAAGAAGAAAATTAAATGGGTGAACTGAGGCTATACAATTATTTCTCTTACCGCTTATCTTCTTCATCTCGCAGAAGGCTCAGTATGATGTCCTTGAGAGTCTCATAGCATTCAACAACTGCTGAATACATATACCCGTCGTTCTTAATCTTTCTGAATAAATCATCATCGCTCTCCTTCTTATAATCTTTTGCCATGTCAACAGCTATAGGAATCTATCACATATTGAAACAATTTAGAAAGGATGCAAAAGACATGTTCATTTGATCATAATCAACTTTTGGCCACAGGGAGCCACTCATATGACACACCTTACTAGCAAGCAAGAATGGAGGCCACTGAATGACAGAAACAGAACTTGAACTGTATGGGACAAGAAGCAAATCTCTATCCCTGAACAATTAGTAGTAAAGAAATATAATCAGAAGCTTGAAAATCAGGCATCTAATGCAAGATGTATCAGGCAAGCAGCAGTTTGGACCTGTCACTGATGAGGTCTTCTTCTCTCATAGAATTTATAAACTCATTCCAAACCTGAGAAAAGTATGCAATATTGTTCCGTTCATATGTCTCATCCTGCCACAGAAACTCCATTCGTAAGACTGAAGGACTCCAGATAGATATTTACTTTTTATGTAGTTGTATGATTTCATTGTACACAAATACTAAATTTTGAAACATGAAATGCAGTACCGATTCCTCCTGTTTATTCCTTCGGTCTCTTCCAGTCCAAAAGCGCAGACTGAAAGCTACTGGTACAGACTGAAATCTGGAGCGGAGCATTCCAAGTGTCCTTATCTAAAAGGTGCAAAAGGTTAGGACAAAAATCACCAAAACAGTCACATTGGTATGGGTATGAGAACTGGATACAGTAAGTTACAATACATAAATATGACAATTCTTAAAAGAACAGGATACAAGTAGAATATATATTGAGTAAAATATAATTATATTTGTACATTGCATATATGTTAATAATTTATTTTTCAAATTATATTGTTTTGCCATAATCATCATATTATTGTTGGCCTGTAATCTCTTGAAAAAATTACTAAAAATCATAACTGTAATCAAATTTATATAAAAATACTGTATTCATGTTAAGATACAGATCCCTTCATTGTCCAAAGAAAAAATGTATGCCTTTTGAAGATGAGGTAATCACGCTTTGATAAGGAGGCAGCTGACAAGTATATGTCACCAACTTTCAAGTATACATGCATCATATCTGTTGGAATGCCACCTTAATTGTGGCTTCTATGAGGGCTACCTTAATTGCATCCTCAAGGGTGGTGTTTAGTTCCACATCAACTATAGATTTAGCTTGAATAGAGCTTTTAAAGCTTGGGCAATCCTCGCAGTACCAATTGGTTTTGTATGGTTGAGTTAGATTCAAAGTCCAAATTCTAAGATGGCTTTCCAACAATAGCCAAAAAAGTATTATATCACCAATATGAATTTAGTACTATGATCTACTATCATTATCCCAACTCCCAAGAAAAAACAACCATGTAAAAGATGGGTTTTATGTGGTAGCTTAGTGTCAAAAAATGCAATTTTTACCCTGTGGGCCTAAGAAGAAATCACATAACAAAGGGAGCAAACTGAAAAGGTTCAATATAAAATATTGCAATAAACATGCCACTAACCTCCCCCAAATGGCTGAAAGCTCCAACAATGCCACCAAATATAGTGGCATATATAGCATACCATATTTGAGTATCCATAAAATAAACCTATATATTAATAAAACATATAAGAATGGAATGAATGAGTGAATTAATGCACAAAATGTGAAAGGCAGAGTAATGGAACAAAATAAGAGTTAATCACCTATATATTGTCAGTGTAAAGTTTTTTACACTGGCAACCAATCAGATCTGTTAATAGTACCTTTTTTATTTTAATTTAATTAAATGAGCAAATGACATGATACTATTAACAAATCTGATTGGTTGCCAGTATAAAAAAAACTTTACACTGGCAGTGTATAGGTGATTAACTCACAAAATAAAGTTTCAGTCCAAAATTGCTTTTCTTCTAAACTCACCAGGATAATCGGAGCCCATATTGCAATTACAATACATATATTGTGAGTCTCTGTAACAGTTACAGAATGTGAGTTGAAGCAAGCTATACAGAATGTGATAAAGATAGAGAAAAGGACATAAAACTTACCATTTTCAGGAAAGAACTCATGCCACTGGTAGTTATCAATAGGCATCCCCATGATTAATTTTGTGGGTCCAACAAGAGGCAATATCTATAGAAAGATTTAATTTAGTAGAACAGAAAAAACAAGTACAATTTAAAAAGTATTTGATGAGTTTCATACAATCATGACACAATAATAAATAAAATACATGAAACATGATTGCAAGAATTCAATAGTCCATTTATTGGGAATTGATTGCATTATTTTTTTAAGTTTTGCACAAACTTACAAATGAGAGAAAGAGAGGAAAAGGAGAAACCAAGAGATGTTGAAACCATGTTTCAAATACACAATAGAGGCTGTATTAGGATTATTATAAATAAACGAGACAGTTTCCTGATTAACATAATTACATGATTTGGTTAGGCCAGACCAAACCATGAATCTATTATAGAGTATAGACACTATTTACATAATAATTCTGTCAATGCATAATATTAAAGCTCCAAATTTTAGCATTAACCTTGTATAATTGAAGTAACTGTGGTAGCATCTATGTTAAATTTTAGGGTTCAATATGGTTTTAGTCCTTGAACAATTTTTTTACTAATTTTAGTCCTTTAACTTTTGTCGATTTTCTTTTAGTCTTTGAACTTTGTCTCCCATTAACATTTTGGTCCCTAACATAAAAAAAATTTGTTCATGGAGGAAAATTTCTGGAATTAAAACCAAATAAAATTTGTTCAAGGACTAAAACCAAAAATTGACAAAAGTTCAGGAACTAAAAACATATTTAATCCTAAATTTTGTAAAAATAGAATATGAACACTGATACATAACTTTAAAATATATATTTAATTTATTAATAACAATGTATGAATTTGCTCCACCCAATATAGTTGTTGAAATTATACAGTTCAAGTAAGGAAGAAGAAAAAGAGAGAATAGAAACACAACACTGAATTGATATAGTATATTTTGTTGTGATACAAACTTACAAAGTACAAAGCACAAATAGCCCTATTTATACTAGGAATTAAGTACCAAACTCCTAAACTTATTTATCCTAATCTATTATCATAATTCTTTTCCTCTAAATATTTTGTAGATATTCTAACACCCTAAATGATATTTTGACAGAGAAAGTGAGTTTGTCATTCAAGACTTTAATCTCTCTCTTTTGGCATTCAAGGCATGCCTTTTACTTTGGTTAACAAACACACTCATATGTCATTGACAAACATTCTAAAAAGTAAGGGAGACCCTAATCACCTTTGTTGATTTGAATAGATATGATGGATATAAATATTAGATAACTTAACTGGGAAAAGAATAAATATTAAATTATAACTATCAATCACATATTAAGAGAACTTCATGTTACACAATATAGAATATCTTTCTCCCAGGCTCTCAGCAGAAAGTGGGGATTTTGATATTCAATTCAAGAGTTGAACTCAATCACTGACTGCATGTATATATGGACATGGCCACATTATCACTTACAAGTGTTTTAGTGTCCAAAAGCTACTGAACTCGGGAAAAAAATCAAATCAAAACCAGTTAAATAAATACTACCTCCACATAGTAGCTGAATGCTAGCTTGCTAATTAGCAGCATGATCCAGAAGAGAGTGTACCTGCCATAAAAACATACAGTTTAAAGCCAAAATATATAGTGAAAATTAATGATAGAAGCACACATATGTGACTATGATTCAATGCAATACCCCATCATTAGCCTAATCCAATTGAAAAAAAAAATCCAACAATTGACCTGCTGTCTCTCTTAAGAAAGTGGATTTTAACTTTACAAAACTGGCTTATAAGGTGAAAATTATTCCTCTCTTATATACAATATTATGGTCTTATTACTAATCGATATGTGATCTTTAAGACACACCCTTCATGTCGAGAGCTAGACATCTTGAGTGTAAAATTTGTAGAACTGGACATCTAGTGGTCTAATAACAGTCCGATAGTGGGTAGCATGATAGGCCCAATAACAATCAACAGTTGTAGTATATGGGCTCTGAGGTCATCTTAAGAAGGTGGATTGGAGCCTAACTCAACCTTACAAAATTGACTTATAAAGTAAAAATTGCTCTCCACTTATATACACTATGACATTATCATTAATTGATGTGGGATCTTCAACAGTCTCTGAAATGTATGGGCCAAAATAATTTCATAAATAATATAATGAAAACATTAAAAAACAGTTGATAGATATATTCTTCATTTCTTTAACAAGGAGAGTAAGTGCATGTTTGAATTAGCTTATTTTGGGTAAAAAAATCTTTGATCTTGGCAGCTTCTTGAAAGAGCTTTCGGGAGGAAAAAACTTATTTTCTTTGAAAAAAAGGGTTCCCAACAGTAATATCTTACAAAGCTTATAATAAATCAAATCATGTGTAATATAACAAAAGAATAATTGGTAATCTACAGTTAAAGATGAAATGATTTCTTGAGCATAAATAAAACCAACCAAAAAAAAAATGGTTGGAGTGAAACGAAGGTTTTCACCTTGAAATTCCCATCCAAAGTCCCTTCCCCCCAATATATGACAAGAAGAACTGAATGCAAAATGGAATTTAATAAGAATTTCCCACTTACTTCAGCAGTGAAAACATGCTCTCATGCATTCCTCTGCCTACATACAATTTTGGCTGCAGTATAGTCAATTTTACGTTAGAGTAGGAAAACATTTCAATTTGAAAGAGATGCAAAGATTAATACATGAAGCATTGTTACGAAGAATTTTTTAGAATAATAAATTTGGACTTGAATTTGAGTATTAAAAAATAAATTCCCATAAAAATTAATTAGAAATACCTATAATACAAAGTGTGAATGCTTGTTTATATATTCTAATCCATGGTTTACCATAATTTTTGTTTTTAAGGTGTTATAACAAGTTCAAATGACTTTTTAGGAGCACATTTGAAACTAAAACATGCATCTAAATTTGCCAAACCATTCAAAAATGATGTAAAAAATTGTAATAAAACACTTCTATGAGAAAGTCAAGAGATAGGAAACTATGAATATACCATTTTTGCATAGCCCTCACTCTCTTCTCTTAGAAGGTTGAATTTGGTTTGTTGATATAAGAGTCAGGTAGTAACTCGGACATGAAATCATTAGCACAAATAAATCATATGCATTCAAGAATTGAATTTCCATTCAAGTAGACAAATAATTTTTGTATGTTTGATATAAACAACAAAACCAGAGATAACTAAAGCTTAACATCAAAAAAGTTATGCAGTTTATGCAATCATGTATAATTGGTAGATAATCAATGTCCTATTTGCAATTATATATACCACAATATAAGTTTGAGCTCATTGGCTTTTCCATAGTGCTTTAATCAATTGTTTCAGACATTTCTAATATAGATATTCAAATAGAAATATTGGTTACATTGATACACAAACACTCTCACACACAGAGAAACACACAAAGACACATATACACACAAAGACATGCACACACCTAAACACAAACACAAACACAAATACAGACAGGCAAAAACACACACACACAAAAATACTCACACCTAACCCCACACAAAAACACAAATACAAACATAGACATAGACACACGCATACTTAGACACAAAAACACACAAACACAAAAAAAAAAGCATACATAAACACGCACTCACAAGGACACAAACACAATCACAAGCAGACACAAAGAAGCACACACACATAGACACATATACACACAAAGACATGCACACACCTAAACAAAAACACAAACACAAATATAGACAAGCATAAACACATACACACAAAAACACTCACACCTAACCCCACGCACAAACACATACACACAGAGATACCCATACTCAACCCCACACAAAAACGCAAATACAAACACAGACATAGACACACGCATACTCAGACACAAAAACACACAAACACAAAAAAAAGACACGCATACATAGGCACGCACTCACAAGGACACAAACACAATCACAAGCACATACAAAAACACACACACACATAGAGAAGCACACAAATAGACACACACAAGCACATGCAAATGTACATACAAACACACACCTATATAGACACACAAATACATAGAAACACACAAACACATACACATAAGGACACACAGACGCACACAAACAAACATATACATAGATAGATAGTGTTACAGATATTGTGAATATATTACAGATATTGTGGATACATATATTATGGTTATTATCCTCACTATCAATTAGGGATATGATTATATTAGTTTCCATAATATAAGAGATTAGTATCTCTATCATTTATTGTATTCACTCTATAAATAAGATTGGCGTGTGTACAACAATACACACAATTCCTGAATCACAACATGGTATCTAGAGCTTAGGTTCTATTCCTTTAGATTTTTTTTCTTTTTCTTCTTGCAGAGGCCTTCACCACCATCGTTGACCGCTGCCTCCGACCACCGACCCCGCCCGCCGCCGCCGACTACCACCGCCAGTCGACCGTTGCTGCCGCCCGCCGGCCGACCACCGCCGCTGAACATCGATCGCTGTCGATTGTCGACTGCCGCCGCCGACCTCCGACCGCCGCCGGCCGACACCACCGATTGCCGTCCGCCGCCAATCGCCGCCGCCACCCACCTCCACCGTCGTCCATATCAACGACCTCCGTTCGCCACTGATATTCGTCTTTCATGGCTACTTCTACTTCAACTACAACATTTACCAACATCCCTCCGATTTCGTGTGAAAAGTTGACCGGAGCAACCAATTATACCACTTGGGCAGCTGCGGTTCAACTTTAGTTTCGTGGTCAAGGACGTGCTGACCACTTAACCACTCACTTTTATGCAATTGCTACCGATAACCGTGAGTAGTGGCAACAAATTGATGTCTCACTGTGTACGGTTCTTTAGTTTTCTATTGCTCCGAACCTTCAACATTCTTATCAAGCATTCGACACATGTTACGATGTTTGGCACAAGGCCAAGAAAAATTACACTAATAATGTTCAACGTCTTTACAACGTCATCACCACTATGATGACCACTAAGCTTGAGAATAGGGACATACAGACATATTTGAGTAAGCTTGACCGTCTGATTGCTGATTACAATAATTTAATGCCTTACTCCTCTTATGTGGCGAGCTTTGAGAAACAGCGAAACCAGTTCTTCATGATTCTTGCACTTGCTGGCCTTCCTCCTGAGCTTGAGTCTGTCCGTAATCAGATTTTGTCTTCCCTTATTATTCCTACATACGACATTGCTCTCCATCTCTCATACTGTGGTTACTCCTTCTGCAACTGCTGCAGACTCCTCTGCTCTTGTTTCTCACTCATCTAATCATGGTAGTGGATGTAAGAAGGTCGTGAAAAACAGAATCGTCGTTGCAATTATTGCCACCTCTTTGGTCATCTTGAAGTCAACTGTCGCATAAAGGCCCGAGAAGAGTCATCATCAGCGAATGTTGCTCATGTGCCCAATACTACCTCCTTTGCCAGCTCTTCCTCTCTTACAGATGTCACTATTTCTGCCTCTGACTATGAAGATCTTCTTCAGCTTCGAGCAGCCCAACAATCTGCCTCTCCTGC